CGGGTGGCGCTGTGGGTAAAACCTCAGCGCCTAGGACTTGCCAATTGCATGGTCAGCGGTTCGAATCCCCGCGGCGGGGTGCACTCCCGTCGTTCGGTCCCAGTGCCTGCCAACCTAGCAGTTCGAAAGCACCCCGGGGGCAGGTAGATAAATAGGGACCGCTTACCAGCGGGAAGGTAAACAGCGTTCCGTGTGCTGCGTTGGCTCGCCAGATGCAGCTTGTCACGCTGGCCATGTGACCCGGAAGTGTCTGCGGACAGCGCTGGCTCCCGGCCTATAGAGTGAGATGAGCGCACAACCCTAGAGTCTGGCAAGACTGGCCCGTATGGGCAGGGGTACCTTTACCTTTAGATGTCCCCATCTGAGTACAAAATGCTGTTATTTAACAAGAAGAAGAAGAAGAAGAAGAAGAAGAAGAAGAAGAAGAAGAAGAAGAAGAAGAAGAAGAAGAAGTAGTTTATTATTTATACCCTGCCCAACTATGTCTGTGCATACTGAGGTTTTAAATTCCAAGCAAAACATTATTACTATTTGGGAGCAACATTTTTATGTCAGTACAGTGGTACCTCGTTTTACAAACTTAATCCTTTCTGGAAGTCCATTCTTAAACCAAAACTGTTCTTAAACTGAGGCACCCTTTCCCTAATGAGGCTTCCTGCTGCCGGTGCCCTTCCACCATTTGGATTCCATTCTCAGACCGAGGTAAAGTTTGCAAACCAAGACACTATTTCTGATTTTGCAGAGTTCTTAAACCAAATCATTCGTAAACAGGACTGTTCTTAAACCGAGGTACCACTGTATACTGAAAAACATACCTTTTTTTTTAAGTACATTTTGATGCTAAGGTTGTGCATTGCATTGACCATCATGGTCTATAGAAGCTGTATCACATTTCTGTTGCTTACCATGACCTCCTCTTACTGAGTTTGTGAAAATAGTCTAGTGACTACTAGCTAGTTTCTGATGGAGATCAAAGTGTTAGGTTTTATCTGTACGCTCCTGAATGTTACAAGTTTGTCTACCTGCTGGGACTTGTTTCTGAGTTATACAGCTGTTTTGTGAATCAACAAAGATGTCTTTGGTGCGACTTGTCTTGATTTATAAGAAGTCTGAATCCGTTGACCTTCTGGGCATGTTGCAAAGCTCATCCATTTCCTCAGGCTGTTTTGCAAGGAAGGAGGGATTGTGGAGAGGGGAAGAACTTTGGCTTCATTGTGAGAATATATGAATGTGACATTTTTTTCCCCTTCCTGGGATTTTATTTATTTATTTATCCACTGTTATCGTTATTTTGGAAGAGGTTGGAATGCTTCCCCTGTATTGACTTGTTTGAAGTGCTTTATTATTATGAGTGCCAGGTTATATGGTGGCATTTTTCTTATGCTATGGATTTACTTTTAAAAAATAAATAAAAAACCTGGCAGGATGCCTAGAGTTCTGGATAGGTGTGTTAAAAATTGATTTGTATATTTAAAAACAACCTTCGCAGGCTACTTTTTTCCATTTATCTTTGCAATGAGGAGCTAACACCCGTGAAGCATAGAGGGCTTTCTGTGGCTTGCTAAAAATCTTGACCAAGGAAGCGCAAAAATAATTTGGCATTTTTACTAAAATGTACAAACCCTGGACTTTATTGTATTATGAAAAACGCTAATAAAAAAAATATCAACATGAAAAAATAAAATATAATGTAATGGGAGGAAGCCCTACTGAACTGGAGGCTTACTTCTATGTAGAAGACTCCGGTCCATTTGTTCAAGAGACAGTGGCGTAGCGTGGGTTGTCAGCACCCGGGGCAAGGCAAGTAATTTGCGCCCCCTAACCCGTGGATTTGCGCCCCCTAACCCGTGGATTTGCCCTAACCCCAGATGTTGCGCCCGGTGCGGCCGGCCCCCCTGCACCCCCCACGCTACGCCACTGTCAAAAGAAACCCCATTGAATTCAATGGAACTGCTTTGGAATAGATGTTCAAGCTGAAGGTTTAAGCAAACTTAGCTGGAGATCCACTACATCCTAAAGCGGCTCATTCCAGTAGATCTTGCTATAGGATTGCTCCATCATTTCCAAGTAAATATGCCTTAGATTGTGCTGTAAATTATTTTAGAAACTCAGATGAACAGCCATTGTGCTGAGGTTGCAGCTCTCAGAGGAAGCTGAAAGGTCTTGCTAGGAGGGGACACTTTTACCCCTCATGTCCGTTCTGCCCGGACGCTGAGGTCCAGCGCCAAGGGCCTTCTGACGGTTCCCTCATTGTGAGAAACAAAGCTACAGGGAACCAGGCAGAGGGCCTTCTCGGTAGTGGCGCCCGCCCTGTGGAACACCCTCCCATCAGATGTCAAAGAGATAAACAACTACAGTGGTACCTCGGGTTACATACACTTCAGGTTACATACACTTCAGGTTACAGACTCCGTTAACCCAGAAATAGTACCTCAGGTTAAGAACTTTGCTTCGGGATGAGAACATAAATCGTGCAGCAGCGGCGCAGCAGCAGCAGGAGGCCCCATTAGCTAAAGTGGTGTTTCAGGTTAAGAATAGTTTCAGGTTAAGAACGGACCTCCGGAACGAATTAAGTACTTAACCCAAGACGCAGGTGGCACTGTGGTCTAAACCACAGAGCCTAGGACTTGCTGATCTGAAGGTCGGCGGTTTGAATCCCCGTGACGGGGTGAGCTCCCGTTGCTTGGTCCCCGCTCCTGCCAACCTAGCAGTTTGAAAGCACGTCAAAGTGCAAGTAGATAAAGAGGTACCACTCCGGGGGGAAGGTAAACGGCATTTCCTTGTGCTGCTCTGGTTCACCAAGAAGCGGCTTAGTCATGCTGGCCACATGGCCCGGAAGCTGTACACCAGCTCCCTCAGCCAATAAAGTGAGGTGAGAGTATGCAACAACAGCAGCAAGGATACTGATAGCTAAACATTGGAAAACTCAAGACTTGCCCACGCTGGAAGAATGGCAGATGCAACTGATAGACTATATGGAACTAGCAGAAATGACTGGCAGAATCCGCGACCTGGGAGAGGAAGCAGTGGAAGAGGATTGGAAGAAATTCAAGGACTACTTACAAAAACATTGTAAATTGTATGAGTGTTAAGATGATGCAAGAGTAAAAATAAATGTGGCATCAGTAAGTTAGTTGATAAGAATTTGAGAATAGGTGAAATGTGAGAAAAAGTAAATTTTTTGGTTAATATTATGCCTAATTAAGTATTCAAGCATTTGGAAAACAAACTTAAATTTAGAGACATAATATGGGGAAAACATAAATAAGAAAATTGAAACAAGGTGATAATTTGCTGTTTAGAATTTTATAAACCTGGAAAGCAGGAACGGAAGATGTGAGGAAGTTCAAAAGTGAGGAAAGTATGAATACTAAGAATTTGGAATTGATGTTATAATTTCTTTTTTTCTCTCTTTTTTGTATGTTTTTATTTCTGTTATTTCTGTTATTTCTGTTTATTGTATTGTTGGGGATGGGATTATATCTGTTGGGTGATAAATGTAAAAAACTTTGAATAAATATTTAAAAAAATAATAATAATAAAGCGAGGTGAGCACCGCAACCCCAGAGTCAGCCACGACTGGACCTAATGGTCAGGGGTCCCTTTACCTTTACCACTGTACCTGACATTTAGGAGACATCTGAAGGCAGCCCTGTTCAGGGAAGTTTTTCATGTGTGACATTTTAATGTATTTTAAATTTTTGTTGGAAGCCGCCCAGAGTGGCTGGGGAAACCCAGCCAGATGGGCAGGGTACAAATAATAAATTATTACTATTATTACTATTATTATCATCATCATGTGGAAACAAGCACCCAATTAATCTCAATCCACCATTCGCTCAAGAGTGGGAAATGGAACAAGGGTCCGGCTTCTCAGCCTCTTTTACATGTTGCAGCCCAATGGGTCATGTGTGTCCCGTCCCCCCAGTGGCGTAGCGTGGATTTGCGCCCCCTAACCTGTGGATTTGCCCTAACCCCAGATGTTGCGCCCGGTGCGGCCGGCCCCCCCTGCACCCCCCCCCCCACGCTACGCCACTGCGTCCCCCCCACGGCCACCCCACTCAAACCCCAATCCATGAAGGTGCCGTGGAGGCTGGTGGTACCACGTGCCATCTGGCAGTAGTAGGGGCTCTGCTGCACCACTTTTCAAATTCCAACTCGTGCTTCCCCTGCGAAGTGGCAATCTCTCCCTCCCCTCCAATAAACCCCTGCTGCTTTTACATGTGCTAAGGAGGAGACATAACTGCGCGGCACCCCCCGGAAAAGAATTCGGGAAGAGGTGGCTCAGCTCCTGCCGGGGCCACGCTTTTGGCTCCTTTTCGGCCACCAGGATCTCTCCGGCTGTACCGTAGGGGGCGGTGTGGGGCCGGCATTGTCTCATTCACTTTCTCCCCCCCCCCCCTCCAGTTTTTACGCCGGCTGCGTGGGGCTCCCAGACTCCCTCCCCCCCCCCTTCCCTCGCGCTACCGGCGTAGCTCGCGCTCTGTATTTCGCAAGTGTATTCGCGAGGGAGCCGGGAACTTTCCGGAGCCGTCGCAGGGCAAGGAGGGACTCCCGGCCGGTGCTGGAGAGGAAACTGTTGTTGTTGGCGGCGGCGCCTGAGCTCTCCAGGCGGAGCGCTGCCGGTGCTGCGCGCCCCCTTCCTCCTCGTTAGGTGGGGCTCAGAGGGACCGCCCCTGCTTGGGAGACCTCTCCCTGCCCTCTCCTCGCAAAGCGGATGCCCTGCCTAGGTGGGGTGGGAAACTTCGGGAAGTGCCGGAGATCTCCCCTCCCCACCCACCCCCTTGGCTTCTCTCCCCCCGCCCCCTTCCCCAAGACTCCCTTCCTTCGCCCGCTTTTCCCTTTAAGAGTCTGGCAGCATCTGGAGAGAGGGAAACCGGCTGTCTGGTTCTTTCTGTGCCTGGCGGGGATGTTCTTCCAACAGCAGCAGCAGCCGAGGCAGGAAAGGAGAGCTAGGCTATAGGTCTTTTTCTAACGCTCCCTCTTTCTCTGTCCTCTAGGATGGCATGGATCTCGGCAGCGACCCTTGCAGCAGCCGCTCCAGCTCGGAATCGAGTTCCAGCAAAGTGACCCCTTGCTCGGAATGCAAATCTTCCCCCTCGCCCACCAGCCTGGACTTGGCTGCTTTGGAGGACTCGGAGGAGGAAGACGAGGAAGAGGAGGAGGAGGAGGAAGAGGGGGAGGAGGACTTCCAGGTGTACCAGAGGAAGGTGACTGATGCGTGGGCGGAGGACAGGGACGATGCCCGCCGCTGTGCCCGAACCGCCCCTGCCAGGAGGAGTTTAGCGCAAGAGCTGGAGGAGGCGAGGAGCGCCCGCCTCGCCCTCCCCACCATCAGCGCCACCGCCACCCCTGCTATGCCACCCCCGGCTCCCCACGGCCACCCGGCTCCTCAGCATCCCCAGCGCCAGCACCGCCAGCCGCACCACCCGCTGGACCTCCGGCACAATGCCAACGTGGTGCCCTCTAGCCGCAGGACTGGGCACAAAGGGGGCGGCGGCTACGGCAAAGCCCCCGCCTCCAGAAAGGGCAGCCCGGGGGAGGCATGGGCAGGCTGAGCAACGGGGGCTCGCTGGTAGCCTTCCACCCCTTGGAGAACTCCTTGGGGGGAGGAGGAGGAGGAGGGGGCACGGCTTGGCAAGAGCAGGAGCCCCCGCTGCCCACCATGGACTGGGAAGCCCTGGAGAAGCACCTGGCGGGGCTGCAGTTCCAGGAGCAGGAGATCCGGAGCCAGAAGAGCAACTACACTTCCGTAAGTTGGCGCCCTCCCCCCCCTCTCCTTATATCTTCCCGGCTCTGGAGAATGGCAAGGGAAGTGTTAATTTCAATGGGAATTATTAGTTAGGTCGAGCAGGCGGTGAGTCACTTCCCTCGCTGGGAGAGGGATGGATTTGGCTTTTTTTCCCTCTTTCCCATAGAAGGCAATTTGCACACAGTTGCTGCAAAAGGGACAGCTGTGGCTCTCCTGGGTTTGGGATGCATGTCCTGGCCCCCTCCTCCCAAATATGTCACCACTGGTGCTTGTAGAGAAGCTGCATGATGTGTGTGTTGCGCATGAGAGAGAGAGAGAGAACAGCTTTCTTACTCAGCTATTTTATTTTGGAAGAAGGGCATGGAATTGCCTCTTGCCTCTTTATTCCAGCAAGGGAAGGAGTTGCTTGAGTCTCTGACCTGACCTGGCCGAGAGAGGATTTAAGGAATAGGAAGGAGTTAGGCAGGTGACCCTCTGTGTGGCAAGGGGGGGGCTTGGTGCTACTTCCTGTTTTCTTATCAGAAGGACACCTGGCTGCATTCAGAGACTGCCAGACAGTGTGGGTGGCATCCAGAGAGAAGGAGAGGAACGAAGAAAAAAAGGGGGGGTGGAACATAAGGAGGTGGAACCCTTGCCAAGCTGGTACATGTCCCAGTGTGGATTTGCCCCAGTGAGAAGGGTTTGTACTATTTAGATGCATTGTTGTTCTTTTCGTTTCCTATGCTGCCTTCCAAATAGCAGTAAGTTGCAGTTATTTGTGGTATTGGCTGGTTGTTGTTTCCCCCCCTTTAAGTGCACCTTGGCCTATTAAGGATGCTTTGCTGAGTCTAGCTAATGAATATGCTAACATCACAATATGCCTTGGGGTGTGACTTGAGAATCCATAGCCTTCTGGAAATTGGGTGCAATGCACTTTGACTTTAGGGCATGGGCATAAGTAACTTCAGGGTTATTGGAGGGGACAGGGGGGTTGCAACGTAATTGTCTGCTTTCCAGTAAGAGGGGGGCACTAAAGAGGGGGTTGCCTTCCTTTTCCCTTAATATAATGGAACTGCTGGGAAAGATCCCCCCCCCCCACTGCTCTTAATAGCTGCTACATGCTTGTCCTTTTTCTGGATACCCTGTATATTTCTTTTAATTAGATGGGGGGAAGGGAGAAAATAATATCTACTAGATTCCAGGGGAGAAAACATGTCCTTTTGAGCTCCTGTGTTGTATTTTAAAACCTTTTTTAAAAAAGGAGATTGAGTATAAAGTCAAATCATGCAGCTGTATATATTTGCATTTGCCACTGTAATGATAAATACTGCGAGGTTTCGATTCAGCAGTGCTGATGACACTGCATTTTAAGTACCTTGTAGTTTTGGAGATTGCATGCGCTTTGAGGGAGACTGTTTTGCCTGCAGAGAGAACTGCAGGACTCAAATGTCTTGCTTTGTTTGCTGCTGGGACAAGATTTTCCTATGTTGTTCTGCAAACAGACTACTTCCAACCAACCAAAAATATTATTCAGATTTGGAGGCTTGGGAAGTCTTTTGGACAGATGCCATGTGGCCTGATCTGGAGTGGTTGATTTGGTGTTTGATTCCACCCCACCCCCCTTCAGCCAGTCTTTAAGATAAGCAGGTGCTTGATAATGAATTGGAAGGGAGGAATGTATAAATTCATATTGGCAGCTATCCTGACTTCGAATTTGAGTATCCTGAGTCAGAATTGGATGGATATCCTGATTCAGGGTTCCATCAGCAAAAAGGCCCCACATTATCTGTCTAGAAGCATAAATTTGTTGTCATTTTTATAGAATCCCTGCGTGTGAACACATTCACTAAAAGGTATCAGTTTGAGGCTTGTGTTGTAAGGGAGCCTGTGTTAAAAGGGAGGTGCTAAACAAGTGGGGGGGGGACAAGTCAGGATAAATCTTTGAAAGAGAAGCTCCATGAAATACCCAGCAAGGTTTAACACCCCAATTATATTGTCTTCTCCTGACCTAACTTCCAAGTTTAACTGTGCTTGGTGCTGGCTAATTCAGAAGTTCAGAAAGTGTTTGGGTGCAGGCAACTATAGATTTCATGTCGGTGAATTATTCTTTGAAAGCACTCCCCTCTCTGGCCCCCAAACTGGAGGTATTGTGGAAAAAATTAAGTACCTCCAGAGGCAGGCTAGACCAGGGTGGTCCAACACATGCGGCCTTTTTAGTGGCCCTCAGCTACAATTGACACCCCCCCACAGCCCTCATGCTGCCCATGAGTGTAGCCCATCCCAAAATTATTGGAAAGCATTGAAAGTACTTAATTAATTGAGGTTCTGCCCCCCCCTCAGCAGATGCCTACCCCCCTATGAAAGCTTGCTCCCAGCAATGGGGGTATTTTTACTCATGATTTCCCCAAGAAAATGCAACAACTTTGGTGGACGATCTCCTAAAAGAAGCTCAACAACTTTGGCTGCCCCCCCCCAAAAAAATCCTGGTTACGCCCATGACGCTGCCTTCCCAAACCAGGTAAGCAAGGCACTCGGCTTTGGGGGGGGGGGAGTGAGGGCTCTGACAGGGTCCTAGAGTCCTCTCCTTGCCAAAGCCTATTTAGCACTTTTCCAGCTTTGGGAAGATGGTGGAAGAGCTCTAGCACCAAGCCAGAGCCTTATGCCTCCTTTGCAAAGCCCAGCTCCTCATGAGGGCTGGGGGGATGTCAAATTTTGGCCTCATGCCCCTCCTCCCACAAGGCAGTGTGTGCCCCATGGGTTCTGTGTGGAAGTACTCTTGTGGCCCACTTGGTATGAGGACCCCTTGGCTTAGACTTGTAGAAGTCAGGAGTGGGCAAGATTTTGAGAGCTACATTCCCTCAGGGTAGGACTGTATGTTGATTGTGAGCAGGGCCCAAACCAGCAGTGAGTGGAGCTACTCCTTTCCCCTCTCTCTTTCTGCCACCTCAATTTGCCTCTCCCCTTCCTCCCCTCCAGGAGATTGCCAGGGTAGGAGAGATCACTCTTGCCTTAGGTGTGAAGTGATTACTTTTGAAAGTAAGCCAAAGGCGACATATAATTTGGGCAAGGGCAAGTCAGCCCTAGGGTTGTGGGTCGCCACCCCCTCTCTGTGGTCATGCTGCACTTCTTATCATAAAAACCCTTTTTATACTGTCGCCTTTAATGTGGTAGAATTGGGGTCAGTTCCTAGCCCCAAAACTAGAATATTCAAAGGTTCATTTGCACATGCAAAATTAAGGCATGGCTTCTTATCACTCAGTGAGAAAGTGTGAGATTCCCCTGTTGAAAAGCTTCAGTGGGAGCGATAGGAAAGTGCCATCTGAGGTAGATCTTCTGTGATAGTCATTGAGACATGCAATTTCTTGCCTGATGTTGGAAGCACCAAGGATAAATATGCACATGTGAACTCACTTGTACAGCACTTCTGGAAGATGCTCAGCCTCTGAGATTGCAGGGGAAGGGATTCAGTAACTTTTGAGGCAGCCTTTAATTGCCTCAAGAACAGCCGCCTTGCGTACACACCTTATTGAGATTCAAGATAGCACCTGACACTCTGCTTTCCATCTTCTCTTTACATGAGATCAGATGTAAAGAGACAAGGCCTTTTCGTTGGTAGGGCCAAAATGGCCTAGTTTGATGGGAGAAAGATGTGATTCCTGGCAGTCCCGAAATCACTGTATTGAGAGAATGTGATGGTATGCAGCTGGTTTTGTTGTTGTTGTTGTTTAGTCGTTTAGTCGTGTCCGACTCTTCGTGACCCCATGGACCAGAGCACGCCAGGCACTCCTGTCTTCCACTGCCTCCCGCAGTTTGGTCAGGCTCATGTTTGTAGCTTCGAGAACACTATCCAACCATCTCATCCTCTGTCGTCCCCTTCTCCTTGTGCCCTCCATCTTTCCCAACATCAGGGTCTTTTCCAGGGAGTCTTCTCTTCTCATGAGGTGGCCAAAGTATTGGAGCCTCAACTTCACGATCTGTCCTTCCAGTGAGCACTCAGGGCTGACTTCCTTAAGAATGGATGCGTTTGATCTTCTTGCAGTCCATGGGACTCTCAAGAGTCTCCTCCAGCACCATAATTCAAAAGCATCAATTCTTCGGCGATCAGCCTTCTTTATGGTCCAGCTCTCACTTCCATACATCACTATTGGGAAAACCATGGCTTTAACTATACGGACCTTTGTTGGTAAGGTGATGTCTCTACTTTTTAAGATGTTGTCTAGATTTGCCATTGCCTTTCTCCCAAGGAGCAGGCGTCTTTTAATTTCGTGACTGCTGTCACCATCTGCAGTGATCATGGAGCCCAAGAAAATAAAATCTCTCACTGCCTCCATTTCTTCCCCTTCTATTTGCCGGGAGGTGATGGGACCAGTGGCCATGATCTTCGTTTTTTTGATGTTGAGCAGCTGGTTTTAGAATGTTTTAATTTTATTGTTATTGTTGCGTTGGCTGCCTTGGACTCCTTTAGGAAGGAAGGGCAGGATGCAAATTGAAATAATAACAGTACCCTTTCTGTGGAAATCTGTTGGGCTTCCTCTGTTCTCACATATCTCCTTCCTGATAGCTCAGCTGGTTAGACTGTGGTGCTCAAAACACCAAGGTTGCAAGTTCGATCCCCATTCTCCCATATGGAACAGCTGCATATTCCTGCGTTGCAGGGGATTGCGCTAGAATAGATCAACCAACTCCACAATTCTGTTATTCTTATTTCAGCTAGTTGATTATTTGCTTTTATTAATGTTCATGGATTGTTACGCAAAAGGTGAAATCCTGTGCATGTCTACTCAGAACTAAACCGAGCTGAATTTGGTAGGAGTTACTCCTGGCAAAGGCTGCAATCCTAACCCCATTTATTTAGGATTAAACCCCCTTTCCAAGAAGGATGATGTTCTTCAGAATAAGGCCAAAGGCCCATCTAGGCCACCTTCCTGTTCTCACAGTGGCTGTCCAGATGTCTATGGAAAACCCAGAAGCAGAATCTGAGTGCAACAGCCTTCTATTAAGTCTTCTACTTGGGATGCCCT